TATCTTCCCCCCGCCCTCCGAGTCCATTCATGATCCGTATATCGCGGTAGAAGAGCTTTTTGGGGACCAATCTCCCCCTGGCCTGAATCCCCAGACTCTTTTTCCCTTGTCTTTGACACGACTTCGCTCTATAGTTGGACATGAGCTCCGTAACCAGAGACTTGTTCCTATGGCCGGCTGAGCACACCTAAACTCATATCCTACCCTTTGGCCTTGTTTTTATCTCTTTGTTGCTTGTTGGTCTGGTAGATAGAATGGGTTTCATCTCTTTTCTTGATCCCTTTGTATCCCAGTTGAATTGATAATCTTACTCTTATCGTAACTGGTCACACTTTTACAACACCCGTGTTGGGAGAATATGCTGTCACCGTCATCCTTATTGTGGTCTTTATCAATGAGGGCATATTCGTCATTAAAGCTAAAGGCATCCTTGGTGGTTTCCTCAATGTCATGTCCTGCCTGACTAGGTCTTCAAATGGGGACACGGTAGCCCGTGATCACAGTAGTTCCAGGCCAGAAAAGCCTGTCTCAGGTTAATAAGGAAAAAATGGAACTGCGGAATGAATGGCATGTAGGGTGAGAGAGGGGGGGGGGTGTGTATCCCGCAGAATCACCCCGAGTCCAACGGCTACTAAATCCACTACAGGTGCTTTCCATTTTTGGTCACTTACTCGTAGTGGTCGAAGTGTCCTGTACCTGTACTGTAATTTAGTTTGATGATCTCAGCTCTTTGATTTGTAGCGCTCATCATCCGTTACCGGACATCTCACTGATCCATAAACGGAGGAGTAAATTGGTCATCCGCCATCAGATGGGGCAGTCATCGTAGGCTAACAGATACTCAGCTTTTACGTCACCAGTATCACCCACGACCGTGTTCTGGTGAGGAGCATGTAGGTCCAAATTACCCGAGATCCAAGGTCGTTCCGTGGCATGAGGAAAGAATGGAACTGGGGAATGAATGGCGTGCAGAGTGACCGGGGAGCGGGGTGTCAAAAGAACAGGCAGAGGAAAGGTAGAGAAAAACAAACTGTCTTACCGATGTCAGTGGTTGTGGTCCGAACTGTAGTCTGCGAGTTTTTGGCGGTGGATGGTGTGGTTGTGGGAGTTGGGTGGACGAGGAAGGTTTAAGTAGACTGAGTGAGTCCTCCACGAGGTGAGGCATGGCTTGGCTACCTACTCCCGTTGACCACGGGGATGCTTTGCTGCTAAATATCGCCGCGCCTTGCTGAGGGTGTCGCCTCGCTGAGGGCTCACTCAGTCTACTTAAACCTTCCTCGTCCACCCAACTCCCACAACCACACCATCCACCACCAAAAAGTCGGAGACAACCGAGCAGTACACCTAGACCAGCCCCTGTCCTCTACAATTTTCCTCATCGGCGTGCTATCGAGACTTCAAGTTCGCCTTATCGCCAGATGGAAAACCGTATTACCGACGACGCTTCCGGTCCTGTTGAGCTGACCCCATCTACCGCCGATCCTGAATCGGTATCCCTTGAGGAATGTGTACGGAAATTTCAAAACTGGTGGTTAGGTGGTGAGAGTTTTGGCTGTCCCGGAGGTGAGGAGGGATTGGAGCTAAGAATGCAAATGCCTAAATCTGATTTTATCAGATTCAGCGAGATCTTAGATGTAGGCGATGATGAAAAGTAGGACTCCCTCTTGACTCCACTTTAAAGTCAATTACTAAGTAGTGTCAGGTTTCCGAAAATTTCGTTTAATGCGTTAACCTCCACACTCATCATTCAACATATGCCAACCCCGATTCATGAAAAGGTTATCAGCACAGTCTCGGAAGGGTTCAATCTAGCAAGAAGTAGCCTCCCTACACCGCTTCGTGAGAGAATCGCCATCGTCTACAATGAAAATTTCCGCTCTTTTAAACGTGGTTACAGAGGGTCCCGAAAAGTACCCGATACCATGGTTCAAGTGGAAAATGCAGCAGGGACTCTGGAGGTAAAGTTCATATTGGAAGTGGGTTATGCTGAGACGTATGACGATCTGGTTCGGGATGCCAGAATGTGGTTAGAGAGAACAGACACCGTGTCCACAGTGATGCTAGTAAAAATGAATGAGGATCCCGCTTACCAAAATCCAACCTCACGACTTACCGATAAAGAGTTTGACACCCCAGAATTTCCTCCATCTGGAGAAGTTTCCCAAGAACATTTCTCCCTTGATGAGGCCCATGGACCTGCTTGTTATAAAGGTCTACGTTGGGTCGGAAAAATTACCGGTTCAATTGAAATCTGGAAACGTCATCCCACGTCTCACTTGGCAATTCGCACGTTCGGCCCCCATGTAATTGACTCCTCAAGACGGGGAAAGATGATGTTTCTGATATAGCTAACTTGCATAGAACCACTTAAACGCAGAAAATACGACCTATACATACTTTCACCTCTCCGATTTCTTGGACGTCTCCTTTGAAGAAGACCATCATGTTGGCTTTGACTGGGGTCTCTTCCACAGAGAACTAGGAACTTATATCAGTGAGTTGGCGGTGGAACGGGCTGGTGAGGCACTCGAAGCTCTTGAAGGAAGAGCGAATATGCTGGACCATGCTTTTCAACCCTCCCCTGCCGCTGGTTCCACGTAGTGGACAATGTCTGTAATATAGATAAACAGTGGTGGTCACGCCTTTTTCTCCGCTCCTTTTTTTTCATTTTTTCATTACATGATTTGATTTTTTTCCCCAGCCATAGACTCTTGCCCCCCATGTATTTTTTCTTCCCCCTTGTACAATAGATAAACACTCAGGGCCTTTTGTTCCCCAAACAGAAAGAAAGCGGTGCATGATAGTACAAGGATCTTTAAGACTACTGTGAACAACTATGTAGAGACTTAATGACATGGGTGCATGAATAGTGCAATATCATACTTAGGAGACACCAATTACCCATCACCCCTTGTTAGCACACCTCGCAAGACCAGTCAGAACGAAGATCAGGTCGTCTGGCTAAAAGGTCCACTCAACAATGATGATATACCAGTATCTTGGGAGTCTTCCAACTCCTATACTCAGCTGCCGAGAAAAGAAGCAAGCAAAGAGCCTGAGCGTGGTGACGATTTTCCATCCAACCGTGAATCGGAGGAAAACAGGCTTGCCTGTCCATTTCTCGCACCTGGCAAAATATTCGGAATAGCAAATGTGAAGTGAACAGAGAGACAGTTCCTCCCCGGAAGCTACCGCGTTCACACAGTGATGGCTAGGGATTCGGATGCACGAACCATTCGCCCCCCCTCTTGGGTTGATAAACTACAATATATTCTTATTCAGCTAGACCACAAAACACCAAAGGTAAGATAGACAAATACCTTGCTTTTTCTTTTTTTTCAAGCCCCCTTACTTCCTGCGAAGGATAGTTGTCTACTGCACCGGCTCGGTCGAGTGTTGGTGGAATGTAGGAAGGTACATATGGAAACCTGACAAATAATATTACGATAGATAGAGAAAGCCACGCAGACACCCCCCACTTCCTAGCAAAAGAAAAATGCCAAAGATACTCATCTCCAGCCAGTCCCCACCCTCGCTAGCACTTCCCCGCGCACGAGTGTACCAAACACACAGATACATACGTCCTCCCCAGTCATCACAACTGCTGGACGGGTAGTGGAAGAGATTGTGGTGGTGGTACCTTTTTATCAACGATCACTCAACCTTTTCAAACGACACCCCACAGACCCATGAACCGCCATCATTGGCTACTATGGATAATAACTTTTTCGGAGCCAGATAAATAATTTACAAAAATTGGAAAGCTTCATATATAGATACACCCTACCCACCGGTGGTCTACGTTCAGGATATGAAAATATTATTACATTACGAGTGCAAAACTACGATTACACCCCCCCCCCCTTCGTCGCCTCCTACTCTGTTTTCGCCATTTTGAATTTCCCGCTGTTCCCTTCCCTTCACCTCTCTATGCATCTGAACCGTCTTGGCGTGCATCTCCCTGGCCTCCTTCTTCGCTATTGCCTTCTCCTGTAGCTTCCTTTCCTTCTCCTCCTTGTACGGGCTATGAATTTCGGCTTGCCTCTCTCTAACCTCCAGCTTCTTCTGAAGCCTTGCGACTTTCTTCACCTCCATCGCCTCCTTCGCCTCCTTGTGCTAGCTAACCACCTGGGCATGCCCCTGACTAACCTCCGACTCCCTCTGAGGCCTTGGGACCTTCTCCGCCTCCTTCGCCTCCTTGTGCTAACTAACCATTTCGTCATGCCTCTCCCCACCCTCTTGCTTCCTCTGAAGCCTTGCAACCTTCTTCGCCTCCCTCATCTGCTTCTTCCATGCCTTCAGGAAGGAGGGGATCTTATCCTTGACAATAGCTCTCACCCCATCGCCATAAGGGCCCATGATAGCAACCAACTTTGACTTAAGTTTCTTGTTGCCATCGTCAATCTTTATGTTCCGCTTTGTGAGATTTTGCTCCAGGCGCTCCGAGATCACTCCATCCGCTCTTCGTCGCGTCTCTATACTCCAGTTTTCCAAGGTTCTTAGGGACAGTCCAGCGTTCGATAGCACATGTCGAGCGCAACATACCCGTGGCATTTGATGGGTGGGAGGATGATGGGTGGGAGCGTTAGACTGTATTTGCGGAGCTGAGACGCCCAACATGGGCTTTGAACTGGCGCGTTGGCAGGGGTTACACCAAAGCCGTCCATTGTTGGTCTGATTTTATTCTTTGTGTTGGTGCGGTGGTCGACGCCATGACGGGAGGCATCGGCGTGCCCCTTTCGATCATCAAAAGAACGCCGCCGTTAGGGTTCAGGTACGACCAGAGTTGTTTAATGACTTGGCGGTGGAAACATGACTTCACTATCAGGAGGTGTCCGTTTGTAGCGATGACCAGGTTGTAGAGTCTTCTCGGCCGAGCCCTATTCTTCTCCGCCGGGGCGTCCGGCATGTGGTATAGGTTTTTGAAGTAGATATCCGGCACTCGGGGAATAAACAGAGCATTGCCCAAGAGCCTCAAACTCTTCTCCCTGATAGCCATGGGCCCGGTGACAACAACAGTCCCCATTCCACTCTGCCCCCTCGCCACCGGCAGAGCCTTCCCATCTGGGCCTGGTGGCGGCTTCCTGGTTCTCTTCGAAAGCTCATCCTTCCTCACCACATCTTCAGCTTCGACAACACTCTGCCAAGCAAGCACCCCAGCGCCCCCACTCCCCACATCGAGCACATTCTTAGCACCCGGCTCCCCCGGATCCCCACGGAGCACCCAATCGCCGCCCAACCGTTTCTGCAGCTCGGTCAACGAACTTAAGCACTGCATATACAGCACCGGCATCACGGCAGCGAGAAACACATTGGCATCCATATCCGACATGTGATTGTTAACCGGGTTCAAGGGGATAGTCAACTGGTGATTGCTCCGCCTCCTCCTGTAGATGGGCGATAATTCGAGTTGTGGACTGCTAAGAGTCTTGTGCACGGATTCCGCCAGATGCGAAGTGACAACATCCTCGATCACAGACCCTGTCCAGTCCCTTACTCATGGCGGAAGCCCGACCTGAGGCGATGGGAAACGGCTGACGGAAGTGAGTCCGTGTGTCCTAAAGACAAGAGGAGAACCACCGGCACCGAGGTCCGCACCTCCCTCCCTCCCACCCCCTCCGCCCCTACCCCCTCCGCCCCTACCCCTTCAAGGTGCACGATTCGCTTGGCAGCCTGTGCATATAGGGCCCCCGCCGCAGGTGTCTTTGGGGGTGGGAAATGGTGGAGCGTCTCGTCCGGCTGCACCAGCCAGGCGGGGTGGCCATAGTACCTCTCGTAGATTCTGTACTCGCCCTCCTCCAGCAGACCGGCGGGGAGGTAGTCACCATTCTGCTTGCGTATGTGCCGAACATATTCCCCCACGGGCTGTTTTATTGTTATCACGCAGGGGGCCAACAACAACAAGGGAGGAGAAGGGGCTGCCGAGTCCCCTAGAGCGGTTTGGAAGTGTGGTGTGAAGGTAGCGGAATTGAGAGGGTTCGAAAGCGAGAGCCATTTCGACAGCCGTAAATAGGGTGGTGAACTATGAGTGGCAAGCATCGGAGTCGTTGGGAGGGAGTAAAGATGCATCAATAAAGGGTTCTTTTCTCTTCTTTCTTTCTTTGTATCCGGAAATGGGGTGATAAACCGGTGGAGGGCTCAGCGAGGCGGCACCCTCAGCGAGGCTTGGCGATATTTGGCAGCAAAGATTGCCTACGGTCAACGACAGTAGGGAGCCAAGCCGTGCCGCGCCTCGCTGAGCCCTCCACCGGTTTAGATATTATTTTACTTTGTGAACGCCCCATGTTGTAATTGCAACCAACCCATAAACCACCTTATGATATAATAACCCGCCTTCATCGCGAACCCACAACTCCTCACTCGTGCTTTGCCACCCTGCACTCCTGCGCCAAACATGGGGCTCAAATCAAGTGGCACCGACTCCCTACAAAGTTTTCCTTAACTGAACACTTCCCCCCACTACAATCCTCTACTCGAGTATCAGCAAGGCTATAATTGTCATCTCACCCCCAACAAGTGTAGCAAAGAGGGGCAAAAAATCGCGCTCGAAAGCTAGGGCCTCAAAATCCACCTCCCTAGTCCACGCGGAGCCAGCACCTTCAGAAAGAACGAAGAATGGAGTACCGGTTCAAAAGAAGGATGAACAAGAGGAGGTCCTCAAAAAATTAATCTTTGGCGATGCGGAAGGTTTCGAGGATGGGTTGAATGAAGTTGATGGTAGAGATTCTAACGATAGCGACAAAGGAGGGATTGCACCTATCGGAGATGGAGATGGAAATGGAGATGCGAGAATAGACTTACAAGCACTTCTAGACGATGAATTATTCTTTGTCGATAAGGGGCAGTCCGACAACGCTATAATCCCCTCCGAGAGTATTTGGGACGCCAGCCATGACTCTTCAGAAGAGGAAGGAGAGGAAGATCTTCCAGCATGGCAAGACTCCGATGACGAAACGCTCGCCATCTCACTTGCTGATCGGGGCTTTCTATGCAAGCTGCGGAACACCGGGACTGAAGGCCTTATCAGTAGGAAGGAATATTTTGCCCAGCTGCGCAGGCAGTTTTGAGAGGATCTATTCCCTACCTGAGTAGGCCGTCAGTGATTCGGTTAGGAAGAAGGCAAGGTTGTATGGTGCAGGTTCGGGGAGGAGCGATGAAGATATGGACGGGGTAGGGGTAGAGGAGGATGCTGGGGAGCAGGAAGCATTGAGATCTGCGCCTAGTCTTGAGGAGATTCTAAGGAGTACTACAAACTGAACATGTGCGGTTCTACGGAGGTTGCAGCCGGGGAAGTTGACGATGGTGGGTCTGGCAGATGGGATTAGTATTGGTGGTAGTTAGGTAGACCTCCCATTCACCTTCTCTAGGCATCAAGCAATTACCAAGTTGCCAGTCAATGATATCAACCCCCCGCTCCCACCCCCACCACCCTCTTCTCTCCTCAGGCCCTGACTTCACCCTCCGCTTACACCACATAAACGGGGCCACAACCCCCCCGCTCCATCCTTGTACCTGCGCAACATTCCCATCTCAACAGCCCACTTCCACCCATCCAGTACAAGCATAACCGGTGCTGGCAGGCGAAGATACTTCCACATCTAGAACCTCTCGACAGGCACTATCCAAAAGGCAACCCGGATATATGGCCACGCGGAGATGCAGAGGTCAATGGAGACCTTTCGTATCTTCCCAGACGGACAATTCATGGCTCTCGACGCCAGCCGCGGATTTGTCAATATCCTAACCACGACGACATACCAGTGGGTCTGGGCCACAACGATCGAAGGTCGGGTTGCGAACATATCCTAGTGTGGTGACGTCGCGATCTAACAATAGGGAATAAAGCGGGCGGGATATGGGAATTCGACGTGCTCTTGGAAAAAGCAGTGACGCCCTGGAAAGACGAGGGAGGACAGGCAAGCACGGTTCTCAAGAGCGCTGGGACCAGGTGGATCGCCATAGGTAGCCAGAGCCGGATCGTAAATGTATATGATCGCACTAGGAGCTAGCCACACAAACCAGAGAAAACATGAGAGTAGTCCCCCGGTCCCCATTGCCTTCTCTCTGCGATCATTTCCACACCACGTGTTGCCCCACTTCGCACACCCCATCGGTTGGGAATGTACAGTGCATACATTCCATGACAACCTAGGATTATCCACAGGTATACCAGGGTCTGTAGCGGGAGTGATGGGGGGCTGGGGGGTTTATTCATGAAGTCTGGACCTCAGTGGGAGGCCTGGGATTCGTGATATCTTCGTGAAGTTATTTTTGTCCTGTTATTCCACCTCTCTATCCATCAAAGTCTCGGAATGTAGTTGACGCCATGGGAATTGGTAAAAGAGCTGGGGATGAGATAAAGCTAAGAGAGGTGGATCTGTAGCGAGTAAAAGAGGCTATTACTCGGACCGGAAAGAGGGGGGAAAGTATTGAGAAATGTTTCCATTGAATAGATATATGTATAGCTAACTAACCCCTTTACAAGGGGGCTAGATATAGGCAGAGGCGAGGAAGCTCTACAAAAAGCATGATCTGGGCGGGCGGGATTACACATACAATAGGATTTCTCAGGAAATCAAGTGACCTGTGGAAGAGGAATTCCTCACTTGGATTGAAAGGTGATATCTACGGTTCGCATCCTGAAAGTATGTGAGTTGGAGAATGGTGCTAGCCTGGAAATCATTAGCGTACGAAGAAAAGGTCACAGGAAAAACAGAGGTTTGCCCCTTTCGTGGATGGATCCATTGTCTACCCTGGCTAAGTGTAACCATGCCGAGGTCCCCACCCTTCGAAGCACGCTAAGCGACCTCCGAAGTAGGTGGCACTCCCCCGGAGTGCCGCACAGCTCAACGATACTCACACCTCAACGATAGATTTATTGTATGCGACGTGAAGAGCTCACAACAAAACGGCCATTTTGACAACAAAAGAGACTTGGAAGCTTTAGCCACTTTGACCGATCCTTTACCACCTTCCTCATCTCTTTGGAAATTTCTTTCTGCTGCTTTTTCACCTTAGTATCAGCTGCTTTTTGTGCATTATCTGAAAGATGGTGTGCGCTTTGAAGCTCCTTTTCCACACTATCCTGCTCCTTCTGACGCATCATAGCTCGTGCTTTATGAGCATACAGGATACCGCCCTTCTGGATGGATCTTTGTGAGCGCTTTTGTCATAACCCTCATGCAACTTCGGCGGCTTTCATGTTTTGAAGGTCCTCTAAGGCAAGTGCACCACTGTATGCCTGGGGGAGACTACTTTGTAGATATCTCTAAACACTAACTGTCATCGTAGGAGAAAGTTCTCGGATTTGGGTTTCCAAGGAGTTGGCATGGCATTTCAATGAATGGATAGTCTGTGGTGTGGATTGGATGGTACTGGCAGGCTGCAGTGTGGGCATTCGAGTTGCTTGTGGGGGGGGTAGTAACTATTCGCTAGTTTGTCCACAACAACTTCCAGATCAAATGGGATGAGACAAGTCTTCTTGATGCTGAACAAATAGTTGTAGGCTTAAACGTAGGTATGCGAATAGCCTGAATTTCTGTAAAGAACGTGATCTTGTTGAACTCCGAGCATCCTGTCCTCATTGCTGAATCTAAAGCTTCCGGATGATAGTGCTTGTAGGATTCAAAGTCCACCACATCCAACGGCTGTAGAAGATGAGTACAGTGCGGTGGGAGACAAAACAGTACAACCTTTTTTTCATCGCGAAATGAAATAAGCTCGTGGGTGCAGTGGGATATATGTCTGTCCAACAGAAGCTGTCTGCAAGCACCATCTTGACGTACAGCAGAAAACTGATCGAAATGCTGAATCCAGTCAAATGCAAACTTATCATTACAGTATCCGGTATCAGAAACTCCAACAGAAAAGGTATCTGGAATATCTGTCTTGGTATACCAGTCCGCCATGTGGAGTACTCCGGGAACTATAAGCATGGAAGGTAAGACCTCTCCATCTCCACTAATACACTCTCTCACAGTCACTAACTCACGATTGCTAGAGCTAGCTAGAGATAGAGAACCAGGAGGCTTCCAGGTTACAACCCATTGGTCTCTTCCTATTCCAATGCCGAAGCCTGTCTCATCAAAATTATACATATCATGATCCAAGATCCCTTTCTCCTCCTTGATTCTTTTAAACCTTTCTAACCAATCGCGGACATGATCTGGATTATGAGACTGTTTCCGTTTGATATTGAGGGTCTTTTGCTGTCGGATATAGTACTGGGGATATCGTTGAAGGAAGCAGTGTGTCCACATACGGCTTACAGTTGGTGGAGGGTATGTGGTATCCACTCGAGTATATGGGATGAGAAAAGGATGGAGTTTGCACAACAACTGATATTTGGATATCGTGATGGGATACCTATCTCATCCAGTCAATCAAGGCATTGGCACAGCCCAAGTTCATGATCGGGTGAGAGTTTCCGATTTGGTGCAATTCTGTCCTGACGTGACTGGCGTCCTTTCCAACCCTGTCGAAGTTGTTGCTCAGGTAAGCCAAATTGCCGTGCAAGGGCAGCGATGTTGGGCTTATTCTCATTTGTGACTTTCTTAAGTGCTTGCTGTATCTGCTCCTCTTCATCGAAATAACTTGGGTTTTGCAGAACTGTTCTGATGGGATTGAACTGGGATTGAAAGACCGCAATTAATGAAGCTTCCTAGTAGTTCTATCGTTGAGGTGTGACTATCGCTGAGCTGTGCGGCACTCCAGGGGAGTGCAACCTACCTTGGAGGTCGCTTAGCGTCCTTCGAAGGGTGGGGACCTCGGCACGGCTAGCCCCTCTTAGGACAAACCAACGGCAATCAGCCATCAGGGGAGTCACATGCGGCAGGTCGGCAAGGTGACTCCCCCTCAAACAGCCAAGCTTCCGTTACATTTTTCCAGAAACACCACCAGGATCTTTGGCAAAACCTAAAGGTATGCTTTCATCCGATCGGAGCCCTCCCCCCGACAGAGGCTAATACACGGGGAGTTGTGTTTAGGGAATGGCAAAGGTGTTTTGAGCTGGCAGGTGGGGGCGCGAGCTACCACCGGGGGTTGTACTCTTCACTTTGCATCTTTGTTCCCGAGGATTAAGATTCGCATAGTGGGCTATACCGTAGGTTCTGGTTTCGACCCGGCTTGTCTTTGCGTAATATACAAAGCAGAGCGATACGGAAATACCAGCCACACCTGGTGACATTATTTTGCATCATGTAGTAGCACTGGATTTCTTTCTTTTGATGCCGAGTGATACCCCACTCACATGATCGCTTCCAATTCCCACCCAATGGGCGGATATAATGCGAATCTACCCCCAGAGCCTGTGATACATCGGTCGACAGCCAATACGCCCATAGAGCCCATTTATCATAACCCCCAGAGTACGAAGTAATGGCCTTAGCTCTCCACACTGCTTATCCTGGCTCTCCGTGCACATTAGAAACCCAGATGAACATCCTGGCAGAATGGAAGAACAGGTTTCCAGGTAGAACCCGAAGCCTAGACCACTGCACAACTCGATCATACCGAATTGATGCTGGTCCTTCGGTATTCCCCCTTTATTTTATCAATGAATCGATCATGCCATAACCTTAAACAAATCCGGGGCAGAAAATAGGCTGCCAGGTGAGTATGTTAAATAGCCTTAGCGCTTACCTAATCTGAGCACTCATTGAGGGTGGATGACAGATTGCTTGGTGAGTATGGTATTTCTAGTAATCGTGACATGCTCAAATAGGGGCTAACCTATAGTGGATTAAAAAACAACTGGGTGAGTGTATTAGACCACCATACTTACCCAATAAATACTAAGCACCGATTGTCATCCACCTGCCTTCTATATATGGCTTCATCCAACCAATACAACTTCTCAACCCTCACCCAGCCTGCCTTTTCCCTGTTCGGCAGAACTCACACTTCCCAACATGCCTCTCCCGCTGGCCTGAGCCGATGCCTGCACTCCCTCCCGCAACTCCCCAATTGCCAAAAGCATTCTAATCAACCCTACGAGCAACGTTTCTGTCGATATATTCTTCGAGAAGTCAGTCCCCAATCCCACAGCTCATATGCAGGGGCCACATCGTACCTTACTCCTCCCTCTTCCCGGTTTCCCCCCCCCCTCGCAATCCTGCTCCCCTCATTGCCCTTAATTTATACAGTCCTTACCGCACTTAATAATGCAATCAACCCTCTCTGCGCCATCTTTCTAATCCTCTTGTCAATTTCTAATGCCTTCCTCGCCGCTTCCTCACCATTCCTGGGCAAAACCTCCCTTACCCACCACTTTAACTTCTTCCTCATCTCCTCACCTGGTAGTCTGCTAGCCTTCACCTCGATCCTGCTCTCGTCGATCCCCACCACTGATGGTTCGCACCGATGAGCCTGGAGTCCTTGAGTATACCCATGGCCAAGTGCAAGGCAAGGACTTTCGGTACTGTAGGTGAGAAGACATCGGGATCACTGCGCTTGCACCTTTTGGTAGGGTGCGGAGTGCAGAGGAGGATATCCGAGATGCTGCCCTGAGAGCCAGAGTCACCTGCAGAATTTTTGGCACTAGTGGAAGAGGATTAGCCATGCTGATAGACTCCCGGGCCCGATGCTTGTGAGGCTTTTTTTGCATCCACTCCACCAGCACTACCAGTGGAGGCAGAGTTGCAGGTCATAATATAGGGAAACATGAGCGATACAATGGTGCAGAATTGGCAGGCTGTGGTCTCTGTGATTTGGTTCCCTAAGTGTTAATTCCAGAGGGGAGGCTTGTTTGGCCGGCGGGGCGAGCTGCCGGAGTTCGCGGCTTATGCGAAGGTGTGAGGCTCGCTGCTTGATTGAGAATGATAAATTATCATACTTGCGTAGAAGGAAAAGGAAAAGGCAAAAATGGCTGCATTTCTAATCTACCGATACAGGGTCGAGTTTGATTGAGTAGGGCAGGAATAGCGGGGGAGCTCACATGATTCCTATGGGCATATTGAATATATGATCGAGGAGGATGAAATTTTAGGGTTGAGTTGAG